GTGCCAAACTCTCGTCCTGATAGTGGCCTCTTTACCTGACATCGGTGATGGTCAAGACTCCGTAACCTCTGTCACTCTTTTGTATGCATCGAGGCGGGCCGCATGTGTTGCCCCAGTTCAAGCGCCAGTTGATGAACGGCACAGGCACACCAACTGCTTTGCACTCAAGCACTACCGTTTCACCACAACGAACGGTAATTTCTCGCACCGGCGGCTGCACGCATATCGGCGGAGCTGAAATCGCCTTCGTCAGGATTACCATGCAACGATATTAAGATTTTTCGGTAAATGTTTGAAAACACTTTAAACAATGGACGAGTGTCAGATACATATCACATCAAACAAAAACATAATTCAAATGCAACTATCTTTCCTTGACTCATCTGAATAGAGCTAACAAAAAAGCAGACATCACTTCATAACTTTAAAGGAAATCTGCGTAGAGGGACGGTGGATCGAGAACGAACGGAAGGAGTTTTAAGGAAGGTGCGGTGGTCCATATTACCCCTGTGGCGAAAATCATATGAAGCCCTTTTAATTTTCGGTCCGTTTAGAATTTGGACACGGGATGATGCTCAGGTCTAAGGTCATACGGAATCAGCCTGTTTAGACGACGGTCGCGAGTAACATTTATTCCAGAAAGTGATAAAGTCCTTTTGAAGGATTTTACGCCCATAATCGAATAAATCGAATTAAACGGTTTAAAAATATGCAAGATACAACCCCGGGTTAGGAGGGCTGGAGACCGTGGCAAGTCTCCGTAAAATTTGCCCCCTGCCACTCGTCGTATTGACGCCATCGAAAATTATGCCGGCTCGGTGTCACGCCTCTGCCTCTGCCATCAAAACGAGAAGTGGTCATACAAGATGAAGATGAAAAAGCAAATGAAAAATAAGCAAATTACCGCAGCCGATTTCATCAGACCCATCTGCACAATCGTTTTGTCCGTCACACTGGAAACTGGCAGCAATGCACTGGTCTCCGGTTCTGCACTGAAACTGACTTGCAGAACATGGTTCACCAGGAGCACGGGTTCCTACAAAAGAAACATAATAGGCACAAAATGTTAATGTGTTATTATTCAAAAGCGGTGCTTCATAGAATATGAAAATATCTCCAAAATCAGTCGTCAACAGTAGCTCACCTCCTGTTGTTTGTTAAAATCTCTTAATCAGAAAATAGAAGTCCTCAAATGAAAACTTTATATCCAAAGGCTGATGTGTTAGGGCAGCAGTATTTACTCTCAGCCCGTCTAACGGGCAGCAGTAAAAGTGCAACGTTACATTTTCACTACTGTTCATTGTCAGCAACGAAATTCATGTTGCTGAATAAAGCCCTTGCTCTTTATTTGTTGCAGAACTTGAGGTTGAGCTGGGACAGACTTCTTACCATTTGTTGGTACTGCATTCGTACGCAGTATGTCAACCGGTACAGTACGTAGTTCTCTCATCGCGTTCATGTGCAACAACGTTTGATATAGAGAGAAATACAGCAGCAAAAAATATATTAACGAAAAATTTTTCACATAGTGAGTTGTAAAAGAGCTTTATTTTAATGATTTGAATTTTGAATATCTATCCTTGCAGTTTCGCTTACACATCTGACCTTCAAACGATCCATGTTTGCTTCAAGATGTGCCAATAATTTCTCTGGTTCACTGTATTTTAAATGCGTAGTTGATTGACAGTTTGCCACGCAATTATGCCCACCACTAATTGCACGGATTATCTAAACATCATTTTCATTTCTATAGCCTTCAAGGTTTCGTGCAACCAACGAAACTGCTGTCTGATATTTACTCTACTTATATTCCGGGGTGTGTCCTGTGAATGTCGTCAGTGCAGATGACTAAGCAGCTATTGTTTGTTCGACCAACGAGTACAAGACCCAGGGAAGAACGATGACTTGCAGCAAGTACAATAGTGAACCTTCCTCTAGACTTGGAATTATCTCACCGATGTTAAGGAACGGCAATATCCGACACCTTGGCGAAATTGTCTGATGCTATTAGCCTCTCCTCCTGTAATTACCTGTCCAACTGGCACATGATCCTTAAAACTTTTCTTCTGCAACTAATATAACTTTCCAGAAGCTCCTCGATTCCTTGGCAATGCCATGAGTTGCTACAACCGCTGTAATCGGTCCAGTACAGAATACTATGCATGACAATATCTGAATGACCGTAGAGTGCCTGAAGATTTTTATTGCCAGATGATAGCAAAAACGGAACTCTATTACTGGATAAATTTAGATAGAGTTAGAGACTTTAGCACATGTCTTCAAAAATTCAGATATTGGTAGGAAAACATGAGCAATTTTGCTTTAACCTGGTTCTTAGTCATCGAATGAAAGCATGCTGATTGAACGGGATCGCCAAAGATATCCATTTATTAGAAAATAATCAAAAACAATATATATATGTCACAATAGAAACTTGCACGCGTAGAGCAAACAAAAAGGAATCAGTGAACATATGAACCACCGGTGAAACTATATGGGGCCAGAAGGGAAGGAATATTGAGACAAACTTGAACATGATTATGTCTCCATATCACACTGAGTAAATTCAAGTATTTCAACCTCAGTGAGACTTATAGCAATTTCTGAGGTTGCGATTAAAGATTTTGGAATATAGATAGTGCTCATTTAAATTTTGCTTTGTTTTCTACTGTCTTTGACAAAATTTTGCTTTTTTAAATCACCTGAAATATAAAATTTTGTAACCGTTGGGAGGTCGGTTCTCCTTATACTTTCGTGAAGAGGCCATCTCTGACGCCGCTCATTTCGTGAAGCTATTTATTGGTGGGGAGCTATTTTCATTTACATGTCATCAGGCAATAGTACCTTATTTTAAAAAGTTAGATCAACAGCAGCTGAGTAGCAAGCACAGTCTGTATTTTCCTGCTTCTTTCCGGCAGAATGGTACCCATTTTTCGAATTTAGAGAGAAAAGAGAATGAGTGA